AGCGGCTGTTGAGCTCCGGACCTTCCACTGCCTTAAGATGGAGTTTGCAGGAGGAACACGTAACCTGGCTGAGATGGAGCAGATGGTATGGCTCAGGACATGCTCAGGATCCTCCTGGATGGTTTGCGAGTGATGCTGACAATGTTGACTCTCGAAGCGTGCACAAAGTGGCGGGTTCACAGGCTGCCTCTATGGCAGACAGCCACCATTGCTGGGGACAGCATCCTTATATATATAACCTCTATGACGCAAAAGTTCTGTAGAGAAGGGCTGTTGTTTAGCCCTATTCAATATGGCGATGCCAACAAGATGGCATCCAAAACCATAAATGTGCATAAGCAGCACACAAACATCATAACATTAACCCATTATAGCATAAGGATTCACATAACAAAACAAAAATCTGAAAATAAGCCTACAGTCCGGTAACTGTACAAGCCTCTTCGTCATCTTTGCCTGATGAGGCAGTAGCAAGTATGACCATAGCCCCGATGCAAGATTATTACAAGGCTCACCAGGAGCTCTTGCGTTGGATGGCTCAGAACCTCAACCTCCCAGTAGAGGAGATAACGGAGTCAGCCCTGGCCTTGGTAGAGCTAAACAAGTGGAGAAGAAATACTTTGTACTCCACAAGGTATACGAATACCTGTACACTCATGCCACGTTGGGTTCCCTGGTTGTTGCTGCAGCCAACAAGAGGGAAAGGCAAGGGGAACAGGGACCATCACCCAAGGCAAAAGAGGCCAGGAAACTGGACCTTTTAGGGAGGAAAATATACTCCACGGGGGTTTTCCAGTTAAGAACCACCAGGCGCTGTTCAGTGGGTATGACTTTAATTCCTGGTCAGCCATGCAGAAGTTTAAGGAGCTCCTACCATCGGACTCTAGATCAGAGTTTGCTGCCATGGCAGACGAAGGCAAGGCCATAGCCAAGGCATCCCTCCAGGTGGTCTTAGATGTCGTGGATGCGGCAGCCCAGGCGATGGCCACAGGTGGGGTAATGAGATGAAGCTCCTGACTTCAGTCGTCTGGCCTATCCCATGAGGTCCAACAGACAGTACAGGACCTACCATTCGAGGGACAGTCCCTCTTCTCAGAACAAACGGATGCCCGGCTTCATAGTCTAAAAGATTTGAGGGTGACGCTGAAGTCGTTGGGCCTTCACACTCCAGCCCCTCCCCTCCCCTCCAGCCCCATCCCGGAAGCATTACAAACCTCAGCTCATGTGCCATTTTTACCCACCGCAGCACCAGCAGAGACAAGACTTTGGTCAACAAAGGAATAAAGGCTTCAGAAAGAGATAGAACCCTCACTCCTTGTCAGCCTCAATGTCTGCGCCCACGAGACAACTAACGGGCAATAAGCAAAACTTTTGAAGGTGCGCCCAAGGACAGTGCACCAGTCCATAACCTGGATGTCACCCAGAGGTGAAAGTGGGCCCTGGGTCTTTTAAATCACTGCCAGAGCCCCGCCCAGCATGGGCCGGGCAGCACGGAAGGGCTGGCTGGGGGACGCTGACCCTCAGCCCCACCCCTTCTGCCCAAGGCCCTGCCCCTTTCAGGGGCCTGGTAAGTCCTTTATCTTACTTTCACTACTGATGTCACCTCTATGTTTGTGGACCGTTTGTCCAGCTTTTACTGGGCATGGGCCAACATCACTTCCGACCGATGGGTTCTTCATATGGTAGAAGTGGGATATATCCTGCAGTTTATTTCTTCCCCTCCTTCCCACTTCCCCTCCCTGTCCCTCTTCAGGGACCCTTCTCACAAAGATCTCCTGACCCAGGAGGTGCAGTCACTCCTAAGGGTGGGGGCAGTGGAGGAGGTTCTCATGAAGCTAAGAGGCCAGGGGTTTTACTCCCACTACTCCCTGATCCCAAAGTCCAATGGGGATTTCAGACCCATCCTAGATCTTTAGAACCTCAACAAGTTCATGAAGAAGCTGAAGTTCCGCATGGTCTCCCTAGCCTCGATTGTTCCTTCCTTAGATCCAGGGGACTGGTATGCCGCCCTCACCTTGAAGAATGTGTACATTCACATAGCCATCTTCCCAGGCCACAGAAAATACCTTCGATTTGTGGTAAACAAGAATCACTATCAGTTCACAGTGCTGCCTTTTGGCCTGCCGACAGTCCTGAAAGTATTCATGAAATGCATGGCGGTGGTAGCAGCCTCCGTCAGGAAATGGGGAGTGAAGGGCTTCCCATACCTGGACGACTGGTTGGTCAGGGGTCAGTCCAAAGAACTAGTGGAAGGGCACATAGACTTCGTACAGTCCACTTTCAGGAACCTGGGTCTCCTGGACAACAAACACAAGTCCACCTTGTCATGGAGCGTGGGTCAGTCAGGGCCCTGCACCCTCACTTCCTGCGACTCATCGTGACTCTCAGCCAGCCAGTAGAACAGAAGGTTTATTAGACGACAGGAACACAGTCCAAAACAGGGCTTGTAGGTACAACCAGGACCCCCCAGCTGGGTCCCTCTGGGGGCAAGGAGCTTAGACTAGGGTTACCATTCGTCCGGATTCCCCCGGACATGTCTGGCTTTTTAAGCTAAAAATAGCGTCCGGGGGGAATTTGTAAATGTCCGGACTTCCCCCTGATGCAGAGCACGCGCAGCTAACAGTGCTGCTGGCCGGACGGTGTCACATACATGGGGCTCCGACACTCAGCCAGAGAGGGCTTCTCCTCCTCCCTCCCTCCCTCCCTCCCTGCATCGCAGATCGGCTCCGGCAGTCTGGAGCTCCTCCCCCACTGCTGCCCAGCGGCTCAGGCAGTTCCTGAGCAAGTTCACCGAGACATTAGGTGAAGAAAGGCCAACAACAAGGGAGCCAGGGGGTCGGAGAAGGGGCAGGGAGGTTTTGGAGGGGGCAGTCAAGAGACGGGGGGGGGG